ATACTTCAATATCATAAAAGCCATATATGAAAAGCCCACAGAGAATATCAGTCTCAATGGGGAAAAACTGACAGCTTTTCCTTTAAGGTCAGGAACATGGAAGGGATGTTCAGTATCACCATTGTTGTTCAACATAGTAGTAGAAGTCTTAGCCTCAGCAATCAGACAACAAAATGAAATAAAAGGCATTCAAATCAGCAAAGAAGTCTAACTCTCACTCTACACAGTTGACATGATACTCTATGTGGAAAATCCAAAAGACCCCACTCCAAAATTGTTAGAACTCATATAGGAATTCAGCAAAGTGGCAGGATATAAAATCAATGCACAGAAATCAGTTGTATTTCTATACACTAATAATGAGACAGAAGAAAGAGAAATTAAGGAGTCGATCCCATTATAATTGTACCAAAAACCATAAGATACCTAGAAATAAACCTAATCAAAGAGGCAAAGGATCTGTACTCAGAAAACCATAGAACACTCATGAAAGAAATTGAGGAAGACACAAAGAAATGGAAAAATGTTCCATGCTCAAGGATTGGAAAAACAAATATTGTTAAAATGTCTATAGTCCCTAGAGCAATCTATACATTCAATGCAATCCCTATCAAAATACCAACAACTTTTTATCACAGAGCTGGAATAATCCTAACATTTCTATGGAAACAGAAAAAGACCTCAAGTAGACAAAAGAATGCTAAAAAAGAAAATCAAAGCTGGTGGCATCACAATTCTGGACTTCAAGTTCTATTACAAAGCTGTAATCTTCAAGACAGTATGGTACTGGCACCAAAACAGATACATGTATCAATGGAACAGAACAGAGTGCCCAGAAATGGACCCTCAACTCTGGTCAGCTAATCTTTGAAAAGTAGGAAAGAATATTGAGTGGAAAAAAAGACAGTCTCCTCCACAAATGGTGTGGGGAAAATTGGACAGCCACATGCAGAAGAATGAAACTGGATCATTTTCTTATACCATATTTGGGTCATCTTAATACATGCTAAGGCAGTTAACTTGTTTATTTTTTTTAATTTTTTTAAATTTTTATTTATTTATGATAGTCACACAGTGAGAGAGAGGCAGAGACATAGGCAGAGGGAGAAGCAGGTTCCATGCACCGGGAGCCTGACGTGGGATTCGATCCCGGGTCTCCAGGATCGCGCCCCGGGCCAAAGGCAAGCGCCAAACCGCTGCGCCACCCAGGGATCCCAGTTAACTTGTTTAGAATATTGCTATGACTAAAACTTAAATTGAAGGTTGGGTTAATTCATAGGAGGCTCCCAGAAGGTTGTATAACTATGACTGATCTATTTTTTTCATATAGTTCATGGAGGATAGAAATAATAAACCTCAGGTTCTTAAAAGGCAGGTAATAGACCCAAAATATATGAAAGACCTAAATGTGAGAAAGGAATCCTTCAAAATCCTAGAGGGGAACACAGGCAGCAACCAATTTATCAAACTCAACACTCAAAGAACAAAAGTCCAATTAAGAAATGGACAGATGACATGAACAACCAAAGAAGCCATACAAATGGCCAACAGACACATGAAAAAATGTTCAGTATCACTCAGCATCAGGGAAATACAAATCAAAACGACAAAGAGATGCCATCTTACACCAGTCAGAATGGCTAAAATTAACAAGTCAGGAAATAACATATTGGTAAGGATGCAGAAAAGGGGGAGTCTTCTTACACGGTTGGTGGAGATGCAAGCTGATGCAGGCACTCTGGAAAACAGGATAGAGGTTCCTTAAAAAGTTGAGAATAGAGTTACCCTACAACCCAGCAATTGCACTATTAAGGATTTACCCCAAAGATACAATGCAGTGATCCGAAGGGACACCTGTACCCCAATATTCATAGCAGCAATGTCCACAATAGTCAAACTATGGAAAGATCCTCAATGTCAACCAACAGTGAATGGATAAAGAAAATGTGGTATATATAATGGAATACTACTTAGCCATCAAAAAAGGAAATCTTGCCATTTGCAATGATGTGGATGGAACGAGAAGGTATTATGCTAAGTGAAACAAGTCAGAGAAAGACAATTACCATACGATCTCACTCATATGTGGAATTTAAGAAACAAATGAGGATCATAGGGGAAGAGAGGAAAATATGAAATGAAATCAGATGAAATCAGAGAAGGAAACAGCCATAAGAGACTCTGAACTCTAGGAAACAAACTGAGGGGTTCTGGAGGGGAAGGGGGTTGAAGGATGTGATAACTGGGTATCTGGGTGATGGACATTAAGGAAGGCACTTAATATAATTAGCACTACGCATTATGTAAGACTGATGAATCATTGAACTCTACCTCTGAAATTAATAATACATTATATGTTAATTAATTAAATTTAAATTTTAAAAAAGGTGGAAGAAAAAATGAGAAAGAAGTCTGAAAGTCATGAAATGCTCATGGATAATATGAAATAAAAATGCAATCATAAATAATTATATAATTTAATTATATCTAATTATATAGCATTTACTATGTTCCAAGCACTGTTCTAAGGGCATTATATATTTTAAGTTGTTTAGTTTTTACTATACTCTTGTGAGGTAGGTACTATTGTGAACCTCCATTGACAGATGTACAGACTGAGGCATAGACAAGTTAAATTGCTTGTCCCAGGTTACTACCTACTAAATTAGCAGAGCAGGGTTTCAAGGGGTTTATAATCTTAACTTCTATGCTTACTGCCTCTCAAGAACCTGATGTTTATTATTTCTCTCCTCCCTGAACTATATGAAAAAAGCTAGGTCAGTCATAGTTATACAACTTTCTGGGAGCTTCTTATGAATTAATTCAATCTTTGACTCAAGTGTTAATCATAGCAATATTCTACAAGTTAGCTGCGTTAACATATGTTAAGTAATGATCCCATACTCTTTGAAATAGAATCTTTTAAATAAATAAACATCTTGGTATTTATAAATAGGAAAAGATTACCTAAAGCAGAGACTATTAAACCACTGTGAATGTAAGTACTGGTTCTCTACATTAATGGATGGCATCAAGATAGAGTCCAACAAATAATCTGAACATGACAGATTAACTTTTAAAAAAAAGACCATAATCATTATGAAAGAATTCCAATAATATAGACAGAATAAAATATGCATAGAATTTTCTAATTACTAAAAGTAGGAACAATAAGCTCAGTGAAATAAACTAATATTAATTTTTTGTAATTGCTTTCTTACTGGTTAAAGTTTAATAAAAGTAGACATACAATTATAATAACCTTAAAATAAAACTGGTTCTCAACTGGGGACAATTTTGCGCACCCCTCTCTTCCCAGGGGACATTTGGCAAAGTCTGGAGACATTTTTGGTTGTCAAAGCTGGGGGTGGTAGGTGCTACTGGCATCTAGTAGGTAGAGGCCAGAGATGATGCTAAACGTCTTAAATTGCATAGGACTGCCCTCTTGTAACCAAGAATAACCTGCACCAAAATGTCAAAGTGCCAAGTTTGAGAACTCTGCTATAAAATGGCACATATACCAATAGCAGTTAAACCTGAAAATTTAAGAAAAAGGCAACAGATTTCAGTATACATTTGAACACACAGACAGAAAAGAATATTTCAAAACTTAAGGATAAAACCAATTTAATTTTGGCCTTCATGATGTTGAATAAATGTCACATTGTTTCTTGCCATCATTAGTTTCTTGTTATTGCACTAATTATAAGGCTTATGGCCCTATTTCCTAAAATCTTTATACTTTGACGTGTTTCTTTATACTTGAAATAACGTCTATGGAACATATCAGTTAGCAAACTAATTTACACATACCAAATAATTTAACGTGGGAACTGGCAAAATACTGGCATTTTATTTGGCATCTGCTAAAATGCAAAAAATGGACAATGTATCTAAACTACTGTTTCTTTCTATTCAAATTTCCTCTGTCACCATCTGTGAAGGAAAAAAACACTCTATAACAGACTTTGTGTGTTTAATTTTAACCCAGGGCAAATTTTTATGACTGAGTGATAAACCCACAAAACTGGAGTTCACATCGGAAGCCCTTACACTACTAACCATAATGATACCAGTGGGCATTATCATTTTTAAAAGTGTAAAAAAATCAATGAGCAGATTGTCATTACAGAAACTCATTCTGCATCACACATATCACCCAAGAGATTGATATTTCATGCTTATAAAACTTAACATAAAATTAAATTGCAAATATTTTCTCACAATCTACTAAAATTATGGCCTAAGGCAATATACTGCTAATATGAAGCATTTGTTCAGCTCTAGTGGACATATTTCTATATGATTTATGTAAGAGAAGGCTTCATTTGCTTCTCATAGATTCAGTAATGAGGGTTCTTTCCTTATATTTAGCCTAGAAAGTGTATGAACTTCTTAGAAATTAAGCCAGCAAATATAGCATTGAATTATTAATAAATAATAGTAAAATTAACAAACTGAAGGTTTTCTCCTTGTGTGTATGACTATGCTGTTTCAAACATCAGCCATTCTTTCATTATCCAAATACATAAAGAGCAGGTCAATATTCTATACAGAAAATACATTTCATTCTTTCAGCACAAAAAGTAATAGATTTCAAGTAAAATAGTAGATTGTGATTCTTTTTCCCTGAAATCTAGAAAGATAAAAAAGAATTTCAATCATTAAAAAAAAAGTTAGGAATAACAGAAAGGAGAGTTGTGAAACCAATACTCTGTCTCAATCTATTGAGATGTGAGGAACACTGAGTCCATGAGGTAAAACAAAAGATAAAATTGATTTCAGTATTATCAACCCCATGCATTGTGAAACTTACACGTAGCACTTTCTAGGTAGTGAAGCATTTTCTCATTAGCATATTCTGTAATGCACATAGAAGGAATTAATGTCTTTATCTGGAACTTAAAAAAATCACTACACATTTAGCTTTATGCTGAAATCTGTTTGACAACTTGAAAAATTACCAGATTTTATACAAAAATATAGTAGGAAATACTTACCTTAAGCATTCTGCATCACTTTGAGGCTTTTCATTGATTTTTACTTTTTCTGCCTCTAGGTATTTGGTAGTACAAATGGCTTCATTCTTTTTATCTTCAAAAACTAAACAATTAAAAAAGTGCTTACAATCTTAAAAAAAATAACATAAGAGTTAATTAACTTTACTCATTCATAAGAACAATACTCTAATTTTTGATGCTTCATGTAAAATGCCTGCACTCATGATTTTTATTTTTCTACTTTAATATAGCAATTAAAGGCACAAAAAAGATTTTGACAAAATTTATGACATTAAAAACACCAGATCTAATTCTGTTCATTTTAGTGTTTTATCTATTTCTGGGTTTTTTTTAAGATTTTATTTATTCACTTGACAGAAAGATAGTGGGAGCATGAGCACATGCACCCACAGGAAGGGGGAGCAGCTGGCAGAGGGAAAGAGAGAAGCAGACACCTCACTGAGCAAGGAGCCTGATGCCTACTCCATACCAGAATCCTGGGATTCTGTCCTGAGCTGAAGGCAGATGCTTAACCAACTGAGCCACCCAGGTGCCCTCCCATTCCTGTTTTACACCAATAATAACACTATATCCCAATAGGTTAGTACAGTTTGAAATAATAATATGATCCTGTTATGTGTATATAATTATATTCATCAGCAAAGTAAACTAGCTCATAAAGATAATACCTTTAAGTTTTCTCTGCACAGTAAGTAATTCTTGTTTTAATTCACTCTTTTGTTTTTGAAGTTCACTTAACTGGCCACTATCATGTTCCATTGACTTCATTTCTAGAAACAGACAAAAAACCCCATATTTTAACCATTTAGGCTTTGCCTTAAATATGTCAGCAATTATTAACTTTTTTGTGTCTGTAATCAAAATTTAAGCAGCACATGGTCAATTTTAAACTGACAAGAACAGATACTATACTTGATCTTAACCAAAGGCCAAGAAGCAATTCATATGGTCAATTTAAGCTCCAACAGGCTTCCCTTGGCTATCTAGAAACTGTCTCTAATGAACAGACCAGGATTCATTAAACAACAATGGGGTACAAAAGAATGAGTTAATTGATGGTTAGACTACCAAGAGAGAATTCAAAATAATGTAACATCACCAAGCAAAACAAGCTTCCCAATGAGATAATAAGAAAACTATCATTCATAAGTAAAGCATATTTAAAATATTTCATAGTACTCAACATATGGCTACAATTCTTCCATAACACTGCTAATATTGCTGCTTCCACCTAGAATATCTTTCCTCTCTTTATCCCCACAACAAACTCTAATTCGTCCTTTAAAGGTCATCTACTAATTTTTCAAAGGTAAACAATAAATTAGAACACAAAATTTATAATACACGAAATTAAATAACTAGCTAACTTCCTTAAATTTACAAAGAGCTCATATAAATCAGTAAGAACAAAAATGTAGAAAAATGAACAAAGAATATGAATAGATTAGTCACAGGAAAATAAAAAGAAATTTAAGTGATCAATAAATTCAGAGAAGTCAATTCAACATCATGCAAAATCAAAGAAATGTAAATTATATCAACATAACAATAATGCTTTTGCTTGTCAGATGGGCCAAGGTTAAAGTCAGTGAAAATGCCCAGATTGTTAATAGTTTAGGATATTAATTTAGGAAAGCAAGTTCTCTCCTATAGGTTGGTAGGTAAATTGATTAACTCAGTGCTTTAAGGAGTATAATTTGGCATTAATTCTCTCGATATTTTTGTCGACCTAGCAGTTTCATTAGATTTTACCACGGAAATATAGTCACAAAAGTATAGGGAGATATATATTCGGATAATTAGAGGCCCCTATTGATGGTCATGTAGGTTGTTTCTGATTTTTATTTTGTTTTGTTTTCTTCTGAAATCACCACCAGTCCCTCCACCTGTGAACCATTTCCTATCTTCTCTGGGAACTTTACTTCTCTCTGGAATTTTCAACTCTACTTCTCCATTGGCTCCGACCCATCAGTATTTAATATGTTCAAAAATCTCCCATCTAAGAAACAGAAATGCAAAAAGGACAACACATTCCCCACTAAAAGTCTTCCCCTGACCTCATATTCCCTTGGGTTACTGGACTTTCCCATCCAGAGAAACTTTGTTTCAAGGGCTTCTGGGCACTAATGATCACCATTTCCTCCGCTCCCGCTGCTCAACCCATTACAACATGGCCTCTGTCTTCCTCTCTTCTTATCCCCATCTGTTCCTTCCCCTAAAGATCACCAGAGACCTCTCATGGCTGTGTCTTAGTATTTATGGTTGACAGTTTGGCAACATTTAACTTGCGCTGATCACTCCCTCAAACACGGTGGTGGTCTCCAAGGTGATCTCCATTTCACACAGGTGATCTCCTGCCTACCTTTTACATTCTTCCCTGGCCCTTTTCTTCTTCTTCCTTTGAAAATCTTGGTGTTCCTCAGGGTTCTATTATTTTCTTTCAATACATTTTTCCTGGGTGACTCCCAAATTTAACAGTTTCAGCCCAAATCTCCCTCAGTGCTCTTGACTTACTGATATTTACACTCAGATTCGTCATGTGGCTAATTCCTACCACCCTTAAGGTCTCAGTCTGAAAGTCACTTGCTTGGGGAGATCTTCGCTAACTCCTAGTCCAGGTTAAGTTCTCTTATTATATGCTCTCACCTCATTTTACACGTCTCCTTTTGAAGCGGTCATTGATTCATAACTCTCTCTCATACTATTGGAGACAGAGCATTAAACTAAACAAAGTCCTGCCATTACAGAGTTTAAAGTTTCATATGTAAATGTTATGATATACATAGAGATGGGCTTTGTGAAAGTACAAAGACCAACAGTACCAGGACCATGGAAGTAAATCTATTAAAATAAATGCATATTTCTGGAAGAAAGGATATAAAATAGAGGGCTACAACAGTATTTGTGGTATCAAGGACTTTTTTCCTTATCACTTTTTTAGAGGAATCATTTACATAAAGTACATCCACTTTAGCATATAATTCTTTGAATTTTGACTGTCATATACACTCATGAAACCACCACCACAATCAAGAAACCATATATTTCTACCAATCCTGAAAAGTTCCTCAACTTTTTTTGCAATTTATTCTTTCTGGTCCAGGCAACCACTGATCAGCTTGTTGTCACTTGCCTGCTTGTTGTCACATACACTTTGTATCGTATATAATATGTGTTCTTTTGTGTCTAGCTTCTTTTACTCATCATATCATTTTGAGAGGCATCCATGTTGTATGTGAGTAGATTTGTTATTTTTTATCTCTGAGTATTCCACTGCATGGGTACACCAATTTTGTTTACCCATTTACCTCTTAATAGACATTTATGTTCTGTTCTGTTTTTGGCTACTGTGAATAAAGTTACTAAAAACTTAGTGTGGATGTATGTTTCAGTTCTCTGGTGTATCTAGTTGTAGAATGGCTGGGTAACCTAGCAAATGTATGTTTAATGTTTTAAGAAACTGAAAAACAATTTCCAAAGTTGTTGTACCATTTATTTTACATTCCCATCATACCTTATGAATTTCAGACGCTCCACTTTATTGCCAACACTTGATATGACCAGTCTTTTTAATTAAATGCATGTATAGTGATATAACATTGTGGTTTTAATTTGTATTTTCCTGATGACTTAGAGATACTGAGTATCTTTTCATATGTTCATTGGTCATTAGTGTATGCCCCTTTGTGAAGTTCAAATCTTTTCCCCCTTTTAAAAAAATTTTTTTAAGATGATTTATTTATTTATTTATTTATTTATTTATTTATTTATTTTTAAAGATCATTTATTTATTTATTTATTTATGACAGACACACACACACACACAGAGGCAGAGACACAGGCAGAGGGAGAAGCAGGCTCCATGCAGGGAGCCCAATGTGGGACTCGATCTTAGGTCTCCAGGATCACACCCCGGGCTGAAGGTGGCACTAAAGCTCTGGGCCACTGGGGCTGCCCTTTTCCCCCTTTTAGAGTAAGTTTTGTTGCCTTATTATTAAGTTGTAAGAGTTCATTATAGTCTAGGTAACAGTACACCAGCAGATATATGCATGGCAAATATTTTCTCCAAGTTGTGGTTTGTCTTTTGATTTTCTTAATAGTTTTTAAAATTTATTTTAAATCCAATGTATTTTTTTTTTTACTTTTATGGTTCATGTTTCTGTGTCCCATCTAAGAAATCATTGTCTATCCAAACCACGATAGCAAAGATTTCCTATTATGTTTTCTTCTAGGAGTTCCATGATGTTAGCTTTTATGTTTACATGTATGTCCATTCTGAGTTAATATTTAATATGGTGTGAAGATTTAGGAATCATTGTTTTGCAATGGATGTCCAATTGTTTTAGCACCATTTACTGAAAAGAATTTCCTTTCCTCACTGAATTGTCTTGTTACTGTTGTTGATAATCAATTGACTTTACATGAGTAAGGCTATTTCTGGACTCTTTCATTCGAATGGTACCTATCTGCCTATTTTTAAGCCAGTGACACATTATCTTGATTACTAAGCTTTTTAGCAAAATTTGAAATCAGGGAGTATAAATCCCTAAATTTTGTTCTTTTAAAAAATTGTTTTGGCTGTTCTAAGTGATTTACATTTCCAGACGAATATTAGAATCAGCTTGTCATGGCTTAATAAAACTTAGTAGGATTTTTACTGAGATTCTGTTAAACCTATGATTTGAAGAGAACTGATCTACTAACAAAACTGAATTTTCTAATCATGAACTTGGTAGATCTATTTATGTAAGGTTTTCCTTAATTTCTCTCAGTAATTCTCCATAGTTTGTAGTGTAGAAGTCCATTATGTCTTTTGCTAAATTTGTTTCTATTTTTTTTGATGCTGTTTAAACAGTATTTTTATTCCACTTTTCTATTGTTTGCTGTTAATATATAAAAATTCAACTGTTGTTTTTTTGTGTGGGGTGGGGAGAGAAGGAGAGAGAGAGAGTGGAGAGGGGTGTATAGGGAAAGGGAAAAAGAGAATCTTAAGCAAGCTTCACTCCCAGTGTGGAACCTGATTTCATGATCCTGAGATCAGGATCTGAGTCAAAATCAAGTTGGAGGCTTAACCAACTGAGCCATCCAGGTGCCCCTCAACTGATTTTTAAATATATACATTGTATTCTATAATCTTACTATATTGAATTAATTTTAGTAATTGTTTTATAAATTCCTTATAATTTTCTATGTAAATTATCATGTAACCTGTAAATAGAGGCAAATTTATTTTGTCTCCTTGAAATGGTTAAAATGACTAGGACATCCAGAGTTGTATTGAATGGAAGTGGTAAGAATGGGCATCCTTGGCTTATTCTCAATCCTTTTGGGGAATGCATTTAATATGTTACCATTACATATGATATTGGTATTCAATATTTCACCATTAAGTGTAATATTAGCTGTAAGCTTTTCAAACAGGTTCTTTATCTGGTTGAGAAAGTTCCCCTCTATTCCTGGTTTCCTGAAAGTCACATAGGGCTGTTTAGATCCATTTGCCAGTCTCTTTTTCCAGTCCTTTATGGTATAGGTGTCATATATGCATAAGTATACATGTATACAAACTGCTTCTGCATACATTATAAATTCCACAATATATTATTTGCTTAAATTGTCACGTAGTTTTTAAAGTTAAAAAAAGAGGTATTTATAATTATCTATATATTTGCCATTTCTGTTTAATTCATTCAGCATGATCTGAGTTTCTGTTATCATTTTTGCTTCTATTTTGAGGACTTCTTTAGCATTTCTTGTCATTCAGGCATGATGGCAATGGATTCCCTTAATTTTTATTTATCTGAAAATGTCTTTATTTTAACTTCATTTTTTTAAGGATATTTTCACTGGACATAGAAAAATTTTCTTTCAACACTTCCAAGATGTTATTCCATGGTCTTCTTGACTTTATCATTTCTAGTGACAGATACATAATCATTAGAGTTATTGTTCCCCATTTTCAAAGTTTTCTCTCTCTTTGGTTTTTTAACAGTTTGACTATTATTGAATAGCTAGGCATAGATCTATTTGAACGTATCTTATTGGGTTTGCTGAACTTCTTGAATCTTCAAATTAATGTCTTTTCAAAAATTTAAGAAATTTTCTGCCATGATTTCTTCAAATATATTTTGACAATTCTCTTTCCTTTCCTTCAGAGATTCCAATTACTTGAATGTTAGACCTTTTAAAATTGTCCCATAGGTCCCTACGTTTCTAATTTTTTGTTTCATTTTAACTTTTCTTTTTCAGATTGGACAATTTCTATCAATCTATCTTCATGTTCACTGGCTTTTCTATCAGTTCCATTCTGCTATCAAGCTTATATTCAGTGACATTTTTATTTAAGATAATGGATTTTTCAGTTCTAATGTTTTCTTTTTTTACGTTTTCTATTTCTCCACTGAGATGACCTATCTTTTCATCTGTTGCAAGTGGATTTTCCTTATCTCACTGAGCATAGCTCAAGAATAGCTGCTATGAAGTATTTGATAATTGCAATATCTAGATCATTAGGGGTTTGGCATCTCATGGTTTTCTTTTGACACTAAGTCACATTTCACTGATTCTTCAGAGGTCAAATAATTTTGGATTGCATCCTGAACCTTGTGAGAATATCATGTTGTGGAGACTTTGGATTTTTTTGATAATAGAATTCTAATGAGTGTTAAGTGGTATCTCATTATGGTTTTGATTTCCATTTCTCTAATGACTAGCATCTTTTCATATGCTTAATGGCCATACCTTTGGGGAAATGTTTGTTCAAGTCCTTTGCCAACTTTTTAATTGAGTTGTTTATTTATTGGCTTTGAGTTATAATTCTTCATATATTCTGCACATTAGGAGCACCTGGTTGGCTCAGTTGGTAGAGCATATGACTCTTGATCTCAGGTTTGTGAGTTCAAGCCCTACTGGTTTAAAAATATTCTGGATATTAATCCCTTATCAAAGATAAGATTTGCAAATATTTTCTTCCATAAAAAACACAACTCATTCTTTTTTGTGATATACAGAAGATCTTAGTTTTAATGATATACAATTGGTCTATTTTTCTTTTGTTGTCTGTTTTTGGTATCCAAGAAATCACATCTAAACTCAACATGATGAAATGTTTCCTGTATGATTTCTTGTAAGAGCTTTGTTGTTTTACTTCTTAAGACTTTCATCTATTTTTAGCTAATCTTTGTATATTGTGTAAGGTAAGGGTCCAACTTCATTCTTTTATGTGGTATTCAGTTTTCCCTGCTCCATTTGTTGAAAAGACTGTCCTTTCCCATTGAATAGTCTTGGGACGCTTATAAAAAAATCATCTGACCATATACAAAAGGGTTTATATTTGAGCTCTCTGTTCTATCCTGTTTTTCTACATGTCTGTCCTTATCCTAGGACCACACTGTTTGATTACTGCAGCATTTTAGTAAGTTTTGAAATCAAGAAGTGTGAGTCCTCCAACTTTGTTCCACTTTTTCAAGATGGTTTTGGCTCTTTGGGATCCTTTAGGATTTCATATGAACTTTAAGATGGGTCTTTCAGTGCATGAAAAATGCTGTTGGGATTTTGACAGGGATTACATTGAATCCATACATCATTTTGGGGTAATAATATCATCTTAACAGTACTAAATTTTCCAATCCATGAACATGGAATGTCTTTCCACTTATCTGAGTATTCCTTAATTTCTTTGAGTAATGTTTTATAGAGTTTTCAATGTACAAGTCTTTTTTTTTTTTTAATTTTTTTTTAATTTATTTATGATAGTCACAGAGAGGGAGAGAGAGAGAGGCAGAGACACAGGCAGAGGGAGAAGCAGGCTCCATGCACCCGGAGCCCGACGTGGGATTCGATCCCGGGTCTCCAGGATCGCGCCCTGGGCCAAAGGCAGGCGCCAAACCGCTGCGCCACCCAGGGATCCCCCAATGTACAAGTCTTTTACCTCCTCAGTTAAATTTGTTCCTAAGTATTCTTTTTGATACTATTGTAAGTGGAATTTATTTTTTTTCCTTTTTGGATCACTTATTGCTCATACATAGAAATGCAACTTATTTTTGTGTGTTGATTTTGTATATTGCAACTCTGCTATATTTATTTATTAGTTCTAGCATTTTTTTGTGGTATCCGTAGGTGTTCTATATATAAGAGCATATCATATGGGCACAGAGATAATTCTACTTTTTCCTTTCCAATTTAGATGTCTTTATTTTTTTCTCTTGCCTAATTGATTTGGCTAAAATTTCTATCACTATGTGAATAGAAGTGGAAATATCCGTGACTTTTTTTTATAGAACGTTAGTTACAGAGTATGTACCCATTTAACTTTGTATTCTAACTTGTTATTGAAAATACACATCAATATCACCTAAGGACAAAAAAGTTATGTTCCCTACCCGTCCCACAGAGATTCTGATTCAATAGGTCTTGAATGAGACTCAAGCATTCAATATTTTTTGAAGCTTTCCAGATGCGTGCCTCTGTCCTACTCTGTCCTACGCTGTCTACTCTAAGTAATTTATCTATGATAACCTTATTTCCATCATCTATAAAAAGAAACTAAAAATATAATTCCCATATTTTTGAGGGCTTAATTATGTGGCAGGCAGCATTCTATGTGCTTCAATATTATTTCATTGAATTCTCACAACAACCTTTGTTAAGGTCATTACTATTAACCCCTTTCTTTACAGATGGGGAAACTGGGCCAAAGAAAAGTCAAGCAACTTGCCCCAAATCACATAACTACCAAATGGTAAAATTAAGATTTAAATGAAATTAACATGACATTAGCATTTATAGTCTTTAGGATAGTGGTTGTTATATACTATAAGCCTGATAAATATTACTTAAAAGTCATCATATGCAAAGCAAAACAATAAATTATTCATACTGATAGCTCCAAGTCAAAAAAGTTAAATGCGTTTATTATTCTCCATTTACTAAAGGCATCAAAGTAACAAACAGTACATTTTAGAAAGGCTTCCATTAAAAACTAATTATCCATTTAATATCATTTATATTTTCATTCTCTACTTCCTTGACTCCCATTGATTCCAATCTATTACTACCAGTCTTCTGCTCTACTCTATGCTACTGCACTTGACATCTTCTGATTGTCAAATTAATAACCTATTTTGATTTCCACTAATTTAAGAAAAACATTTTGCTTTTGGTTTCTAAAATATTACTATTACTTTCTGCTGGTTCTCCTCTTGCCTTCTTTGAATGCTCTGTACCATTCTTTTTCTTTCTTTCCTTAAATGTTTCTGGCTTTGGTCTTTGTTCCTTATCTGTGTCCCCCCAATATGTTTTCTCAGAATGATATCACCGACTCCTCTGGATTCAGTTCCAAACTTAATGGTCTAGCTCTGATTTCTTTTACCAGCTTCACAAACAACTCTTCCCCTGCCACCTGGGAATTCCCCTCTGTGTATTTCATAGACATCTCCACCTAAAAATACCTGAAACAAAACTTATTTTGTCCAGAAAAGGCTATATAGTTCCTACAGCCTTCTCTCTCTCTACTCTTCCTCCTGGTACCACATTCTACTCAAACTCTGATATTTGAAAACTATAATTCATCCTTAACTTTCTCTATTTTTGTTCACATTAAAAAGTGATGAAGTCCTGTTATTATTTCTAAACATTTATTTAATTCAACCTCTCTTCTATTTGGCAATGTCTTTAATTCAGGATCTTATCACAGATTACAATAACCTACATGCTAGGGTTCCTGAAATGAAATTCTCCCCACCCCACTGTGTAACCTTGTTTTCTAGTTTAAATTACATTGATGGTAAATGAGGTACATCCCACCAGTCCTACCCCTAATATGGCTTCTATCACACTGTACTATAAATATATGCTTACATATTTGATTCTTCCACTTTTTAGTTTTATATCCCAAAAACCTAGAGCAATGCCTATCACATAACAGAAGGAGAAATAGATATTTGTTATTGAATGAATGACTAAAATGCTCATGTCACACCTATGTCTAAAGAACTTGAGATTGCTCACAATAAAAGATACATTTCCCTTAGGTTAATTAAGAGAAAGGTAAAAGAATAGCTATGCAATAACCCAATTTACTTATGAAAAAGTTAAATTTCTGGAACATCCATTGATTCAAATAAGTTATTTTCATTAATGATACAAAAATGAGGTGGTATTATATACTCATACCTCTCTTCAAAATGTTCGCCTGGTTTTCTAAGTCAGATATTTCAATCTTGACATTTTCTTTTATCCAAAGTTCTCTTTTCTTTGTTACTTCATACTCATTATTGAAATCTGTAATTTCCTTAATAAATTTTTCTTCCTCCTCTGTCACTTTTTTCTTCGCAGCCTCCTGAAAAACAGAAACAAAAGATCAAATATAGATGGTAATTGTACTGTTATTCTTTAGTGATTCAAAATGCAATCATTTTGAGTATTAACAACAAATATATAAAATTATAATTCCCATTATTATTACAAAAATGCTTTATTCCTACAGCAATATGAAGCTATTACATACCAACTATTTCCGCATGGAAGTTTTATCTTTAATATTTTGGGAGTATTATTGAGGTAGAATTCCTACTACTCATCATTGTATCTGTGTTTATATATTAAACTTATAGCCATTGGTGCCATTTTGTCATTTCAATATAAATTTGGGTAAAATAATTAAATGTCCAAACCTGAACATGAAAATGTACGCTCAAGGGAATTACTTCTATAGAAAAAAAAACAAACAAGGAAATTGAAGGAAACCTTTTAAAATATAGCAAAGGAGGTAAAATTATAAATTTATTTCCAAGTTAGTTCTACAAAATAGTTTACATTTTATGAAACATGAATATGAAAAAGAAATAAGAATTTCCAGAAACTCTAGAACCTAAACACTACTGTATTTTTCTATTTTTTTTCTAAGAAATTTCAATTAGTTGTGAACTACATTGGGAACTGGCCATGTTAACATAAGCACCAAGTCTGTTGATTTTGACTTCAGATATTTTTAATATTTTTAAATGTATTTTCTTTAAAATGTCAATTAATTACAAGTCACATTCCTAAACTGGCCCTGTCATTTAAAACTACTGAGTCTGTTGGTTCTGACTTAAGATAAAAAGATAAACAAAATCTTTTCACCAAGATCCATAAATATGCCTAAAGTGTGAACTCTCTGCCTTTCAAAAGCATTAAAACCAAGGTCTCAAAGCCTGAGCAATTCAAATCAGTTTCACTCATTTTTTTATGCTTATTACAACTGCAAATAATTTCTATATTGCATTCCTGCCAATAGAATTCTTTCAAACTATATTACTCTACCAACTGGTTTTAAATAGCACTTAATACTTTTCCGTATCTTAACAGGAGTATCTGCCAATATGCATACAGAGGATTTTCTAAAAGTACACCTAAGTATATTTAAATAGTTTTCAATACTGTTAGTGAAATAGATATTTCTAAGTGGCTGTAGGCTTACAAAGTCTTGAAGAAGCATATTCCTCTGGTTTGTAATTTCACTACACTGTCTTTCTAAGGCATTTTCATGAATTTTCCAAAGCTGTAAGAGGAAGGCTTTTTCAGAAAACTGCTGAACCTTTAAAGTAAAAAAACAGAAATCAGAATGAAACAATTAGGGTGCCTTAGTTAAGAGAACAAATATTAACCTTAAATACAAAATAAATTTCACATTAAGCATCTTATTTTAAATGCACTATCATATATTATTTTATAAGTGTTCTATAATTACAAGTTTTAAAATGTTTTCCCCCAATAAGACATAGGCCCCTTATGGGCAGAAAATGCATTTTCTTTTCTCTTTGCAATACCTAACACATTTCTTAGCTTAGGTACCAAAGCTTTTTAACTACACACATTGAAATCTGCTTCAAGACAGCTTGTGTTAAAGAGCAAGTTTCTATTCTCATCACTTATAAGGAAGATATGGATGAATTAAACATGTATACAGTATGACTAATAAAATGAGATAAAATCTACAAACCATAGGCAAAAACCCAGTCCCATGACTACAGTTATACTAAGAAAAACACAAATCTGCTAAAGTCCTCAAATGCTTTTGAGAACTCATTTTTTAATTTTAGTACCTCATTTGGTTCTAGTTAGCAAGAGACATAATAAACATTAATATTGGATATGTAACTATTATTTCATTTGGGCCATAAAGAATAGCATCTCTTGAGACCATGAATATTGAAATGGAAGTCAGGAAGCTTTAATATATAAAAGCTAAAATTGATGCCAGACTGGGAATAATCTTTCCTCTATATTCAGTACTGGCCCTCATAAGAAAGTATCACTTTTAGTTTGGGGCTGTTCCCATCTCCATAGTGAAAAGAAAAAGGAAATAAATTCAACTTAAATTGCAGAAAGCAAGATTTATGTTAGCCATAAGAACTTCCTGAAGGTGAGAGACAGAGTGTGAAATCTCTGTCCCAGAAGATATTGAATAGTAAAGAGCTTAGGAATAGTCTAGTCCAGAGGCAAAGGGTTGGCCTGAAAGAGATTTTGAAATGATATGGCTAAAAAGTCCTGGAAATACTGGCATTAAAAAAGTAACAGAAAAAAAGGAACAGAAATAAAACATAAAATATGATCTTGCATGTATATTATGTCACGGCACATCTACGCACACCTTTAGTACTTGCTGCTGTTCTCATCAACTCTATCTTAAGAAGACATCAATAGAGAACGAATAAAGAGATACAATTTTCATGACCAAAAAAACTCAGAAAAGGCTTTTAAAATGGGGGAAGCAGGACTGGGGCAGTTAGTTATTTTACTAAGAAGAAAGAAATCATAAAACATATGGCCAGATCTAAGAAATCACATAGAAAATGGTAACAATAGCAAACAGGAGTATGTTCATGAATCTACCATATTTATTTAGAATAAGAAAACACTTCAGAGCTATTTACTATTTATTATATAAATGAGAATAAAATGAGTCCAGAAAAGTGAAATTCCTCAACAAAGGTAATGTAATTAATTATGGGCAAACCAAGGACTAAAATCCAGCTCTTCCGATTTCCTTTCTTCTATGGGACTAGAACTATTTCAAAGTAATTGAGATACTTTTGGAACTAAAAGGAACTCCATTCTCTATAATAGTAGAAGGTTAAAGTATGTAAGTTTGAGAAACACAAAAAGTATCAGAACTTAATGAGAAAAGGTTGCTTGTAGTATACCCAACTCTCAGGATTGCTATTCTGGAGGGTAAGCATGAATGCATTCAAGATTGCTTTAAGACCAAATATTGGGCTGGATAAATTTTAATTCAATAAGGTATGTCACGTATGAATCAAAGTTCCTGAATTCTGATTGTTTCTGCCACAATCAGAATCTGTTGTGAAAGACCTATGATGAAACCCAAAAATGAAGAAAATATTAATCAGACTAAGAAATTTTTAAGTAAGACATAACTAAATTTATTATTCAGATTCAGAAGAGCCTTATGTTAAGAAATAAAAAATTAAGATGTCCCATTCCAGCTATTACCAACTAAGATCTAAAATTACACTGAGCTCATGTCCTCTTTCCTAAAAAAGAAAATAAATATTAAAGAGAGCTATTAGACAAGCTGTCATTTAATTGGAATATTTTACCATAATCTGAAAAATGAAACCTATATACCCCAAATGAAAAGTAGACAGCTATTCAAAAGCTTTATAAGAAAGGTATAACTATAAATTTCCTCTTCCCCTAAACTTCTATGGGAATTATCATTTTGAGGTCTTTTCTGCTTGTTGTTGTTATTTTTATTATTACTTTATTATTATTATTGGCCTGCTTCTCATCATTATTCCCACTTTCTGTCTTATACTCTGCCTTTATCTTTTACTTCCACATTTTCGTCTGTAAAGCAACCTAAAGAAGTTCCAGAGTCAATAACTACAGAAAAATTACAGTAACAATAATTTTTAAATTCACTTAGGATCTGTGATGAGAACATTTAATACAAGAAGGAATTGGCAAGTAAAAGAAAAGGCATAATAGAAAAAGGCAGGAGTTTGGGAAAGCTCAAGTCAGTAAAATTATTGTCCACAATATGATGATTCACATGGTGAAGACAAAGTTAAGTTAGAGTTGCAGTAGCTACCCAGGTCTATTATTAATAGAGTTTTTCATTTTTTAATGAAAAATTAAAGGACAAAGACTTTTGGATTTTCCCAGTTCCTCTCTGCCAAGCATATGTTGTTACTCTTAAAAACTGAAATAGCTTTTCATGGCCCCCTACTTGCAGAATATGTTTCTCATTATTTCTTTTGTTTTTGCTGTTATCACAACCAACTCCGTAAACTATTTTTCACACTCTTGTGTTTAAAAACCAGACCCTCTGATGTGTAAAATAGGTAAATAATTCCAAATATAACCCCAAACATATTGCTATGATCGTAAGACAAGGTCATTTCACAGAATAAATTATCAGAAACATCTCTTGTTGTAAGAGTGATGGGTGGGGATCAGAATTGGAAAGATATTAGAAGAAATGTAAAACTGTGACTTAAAAATAATTTTAACTAGGGTATAATTGACATATAACATTATATTAGTTTTGAGTGTACAACAAAATGATTTGATGCTTATATACACTGTCAAATAATTACCACAGCCAAGTGTAGTTACCATTTGTCACCAAAGTTATAAAATCTTTTTTTTTCTTGTTAGGAGAACTTTTTAAGATTTATCCTCTTAGGAACTTTCAATATCACTGACAATGGTCACCAGGCTGAGTACTATGACATGATGATTTATTTATAACCAGAAGACTGTACTTCTTGACCCTCTTCACTCACTGCCCATCACCCAAACTCCTCCCCACTGGTAACAACCAATCTATTCTCTGTATCTGTTAGTTTGGTTTTTCTTTGTTAGTTTGTTTAAATTCCAAATACAAGTGAAATCATATAGTATTTGTCTTTATCTGATTTACCTCACTTAGCATAATACCCTCAAGGTCCATCCATGTTGTTGCAAATGGCAAGATTTCATTCTTTTTTATGGCTGAGTAGTATTCCATTATGTACTTACCACATCTTCTTTATCCATTCATTCACTGATGGATACTTAGATTGTTTCCTTATCTTGGCTATTGTAAATAGTGCCACAATGATCATAGGGGTACACATATCTTTTCAAATTATTGTTCCTATTTCCTTTGGATAAATACCCAGAAGTGGAATTGCTGGATCATAATGGTAGTTGTTTTTAATTTTTTGAGGAACCTCCACACCATTTTCCATAGTAGTTGTACCAATTTATAATACTGCCAACAGTGTGAGGGGGTTCTGTTTTCACATTCTTGCCAACACTTGTTATTTCTTGTCTTTTGTTTATCTTTTTTATTATAACCATCCTAACAGATATGAAGTGATATCTCATTGTGATATTGATTTATATTTTACTGATGATCAGTAATGCTGAACATTTTCCATGTGCCTGGTGGCCATTTGTACGTCTTCTTTGGAAAAATACTTATTTAGATTCTCTGCTTATCTTTAAATCAGAGTGATTTTTTTTTTCTGTATGTTCACCAGTTTTAGCAAGGCAGCAGGAAAGGGCAGGGGTAGGGCACATCCACTAGTGTTAGCAGGGAAATTGGAAAGTGCTATGACTGTGTGCACCTACCAGTACAAGGAAGGTAAAGGGAGAGTGCAAAAATGGCTCCCACCAACACTGGTGCTAGCAAGTCAGCAAATTGGCACAAGGTGGAGGAAGAGTGAAAAAATGGTGCCCCGCCTGTGCCGCCATCTCTGGAGAGAGTCCCATAGGCTCATGTCCCTCTGACAGTTGCTTTATGATTAAGAAATAAATTTCTCCTTTACACACATGCATATGTGTGTGTGTGTGTGTGTGTGTGTGTGTGTGTGTACATGTATATACACATATATACTCTAGGTGCTTTTCAAACTGCTGCTTTTGTACTAGTTCTGGGGCAAATGATTCTACATATGAGCCCTTTAAGAGCAGAATCTCAGTTCCATACAGTCCTTTGGATCTCTTGGATGTAATAAGCACCACTGGTTTTCAAAGCCAGATGTTTTGAGGGTTCATCATTCCCATGTAGGTCCCAAGGATTGGTGTGCCTGACATTGATGTGCTACTCAGGGAGAAGCTCCATATTTGTAAGCTCCCTCCTGATCAAGGGTTGCTGTGCCAATGTAGGGAGGGAGGTCTGGTGAGACTATGCCTCTGTCTCCCCCACCCATTTCAGTGTGGCCCTGTCTGTTATCCTTTGTTGTGGAATAATTTTTCAGCTAGTTTCCAGGTCTTTTTCAGAAGGAATTTTTCAATATGTAGCTGTAGATTTGGTGTGTGCATGGGAGATGAGTTCAGGTATTCCTATGCTGCCATCTTGAACCACCTCCCAAAATATTTTTGAACATATCTTTCCCAGTCAGGTTTTAATTGAGGCACAATCTTATAATCTATGGTAGCTTGGACATCTTACCATAAACATTTAAGAGACATTAACTTTATCTTCTAAGTTACCCAGGAATATCAAGGGGATATGACTAAAAAAAGAAAAGAGTAGAAGGTTCCTATACTAATATAAATTTCTCTTTCTCTTCTCTCTTTTTCCCCTGACTACAAATGAAGAGAAAATATTTGCATGCAGCCTTAAAGTTCTATTCTAGAATCAAACAGCCAAGCTTTGTCAGAAAATATTGCTGTTTTGGAAAATTTTAATTTATAGTAGTGCCAACATTCTGGTTAATTCTGCTTCCCTCAGCAATAAAGATTTTTTTCTTTCCATTTTATTCCTCTTGGGATATTTGATTTTTCAACAGAGCTTATAGTTTTCCCAGTGAGCTGACTTATCTGGTCAACTAGGTCAGTTTTCAGCATAGCCATGATTTGTGACTCTTCACTACTCTTGCTGCCTGGGTGCCTTTAGGTATTTTTCTACCAGAAGAACTTGAAAATCGAAAATGACTGAGGATTCTAAATTAATGTTTAGGTCCAAGTAAGCAAAGTATAAAGCTTCTCTTTGTTGTGGTTGCTGTTGTTTAAAATAGTCTCAGACTTTAGGAACTGACATTTTGCTGATTAAATGGTCTGCCTCATAGTGTAAGGCAACTTTACATAAGAGTTATGTAGATTTCACATTTGTAAGCTCCTAGCAATCGGGGAAAGGCTGTGTTTGTTATGACTACAATAAGAGACATTGTAAATTCTAGAGTACATCAATGAATATTGTATCGATAGATTTAAGGTTTTGTAAAAATATATATGTATATATATTTTATAAATGTATCGCTTAACCACAGATTTAGTACTTAAAATTCACTATGACAGTGATCCAACGTCAGAAGTTTCAATATTAGGAAATATTAGTCCTTACAATAGCTCATAAGACTTTTTGTGGTCTGCACTCCCTTATTCACTCTCCAACCTTATCTTCTATTATTCTCTTCATTCACTCTCTCTAGCTACATTGGCTTCCTCATTATTCCTTGGACATACCAGGCACACTCTCTCTGTATAGTCTTTGCACTGGCTCTTCTCTCTACCTGAAAATCTTTTCCCAGATTCCTCCTGGTTTGTTCCTTTACTTCAGTTGAGTCTTTGCTCATCTCTCATCTTCTCATTGAAGGTTATTAGGATGCCAGATAAGACCACTGCTATTTAAATCTGTTCGGGAAGTTCTTATTAGTACAATACGGTAAAAAAAAAAAAAAAAAAAAAAGATATAATTATCAAAAAAGCTGGTATACAATTTCATTTGTTTACCCAAATGCCATTGTCACATACCTAACAAATCCAAATGAATCTACTGAGAAACTGTTAGAAATAAAAAAAAGAATTAAATAAAAAGGTTAGTAACAAATATCAAAAACTAAGCATCTTTTCTAGTTACCAACAATAAATAGAAAAAAAGCATGGAAAAAGATCTCATTCATAACAGCAACCAAATAAAGAAAACACAAATAAGCTTAGAAAATATAAGACAGGGATCCCTGGGTGGCACAGCGGTTTGGCGCCTGCCTTTGGCCCAGGGCGCGATCCTGGAGACCCGGGATCGAATCCCACGTCAGGCTCCCAGCGCATGGAGCCTGCTTCTCCCTCTGCCTGTGTCTCTGCCCCTCTCTCTCTCTCTGTATGACTATCGTAAATAAATTAAAAAATTTAAAAAAAAAGAAAAAAAGAAAATATAAGACATATATTAAAAAAAAGGAACCTCTACTGAAGAACATAAAAGATACAAATAAATGTGGAAAAACACATTGTTTAAAATCTTGGAGTGGGGTAGGTTTCCCAAGTCTGAGATGGATTTCAGAACAAACAAACAAAAAAGATTAAAAATTCTAGCAACACAAACATTCTAAATTTTGACTAGATAAAATATGTCATAAAAATGCAAGCTTTGTACAAATAACATTTGCAACAAATGACAAAGAGTAATTATCTGTAACATATAAAATAAAAAGCTAGAAATTATCTGCAACATATAAAAACATATAAAAAACATAAAAAGTCAATAAGAAAAAAACAAGGAGAGGATATGACTAGGTATAACACATGGTAAATATTAGCAGTCAATGAACAAAATTAAAAATATAAGTAAACAAAAAATTCAAATTAAAACTATAAAAGGATGACATTTTTCTCTTATACTTACCAAAAGAACTGATCATTTCAATTATATGAGTAGTGAAATTATACAAAAATAAACTGGAAAAACTTCTGGAGGACAATTTAGAAATTATCAAAAGTCTTAAAAGTATACAATTACTGATAGAGAAACTTGATTTCTAGGACTTTATCCTAAAAAAATCTAAGTGCATCACGGTGCATGTGCAAGATTGTCATCCCACCCCAGTGATATTAATAATAATTTATTAATAATAATCATAAATATTTATCAGTAGGAAAGTAGTTAACTAAAATATGGTATAGCCATTGAGTGGAGTACTATGCAATTATTAAAAACTGTTTATTTAGATTTAGATTTAGATTTACTGAGATATTTGGGATACAGTAAATGGGAAAAAAGCAAATCATTTAAGAAAATTATACATGGACTTAAATAATTTTGAAAGACCTGTGAAAATAGTATATACAGTAGAACTATGGATAGCTTTAACTGTGTTTTACATGTTCCTATTTTGGGGATAATTTGCAATAAACATATACTACTTTTTTTTTTTTTTTTTTTTAGGTTCGAGAGTGCTTTAATGGGGAGCGCTCCTGGGTGAGGTTCCATGACTCGGAGAGGTGGCCAGAGTCAGGGAAGTCACAAACATATACTACTTTTATGAAGAATTAAAACAAAGCTCGTTCAATTCAGAAAAAAAAAAATGTCTGCTGTATGTTCATCAAATATAATGGTAGGAGGCCCTTATATTTCCTGAGAATTTAACCTTCTCCTAGTAGCAACATAAGCAAATGCTCCTCATAAAAGAGAAAGGAAAAGGAGCCTCATAATAAAGAGAAAAAGACAATTTCAGAGGAACAACCTAATACTTTATCCTACTGTGGCAGTCACATATCTCCCATTCCTTCCTCTTTTCTGTCTTTTCTCAGAAGGAATTAATTAGAATTTTAACCAGGAAAAACTGGACTATATTTAAAGCCATGGAACTAGACTGAATCAAAGAAGCTGAGGTAGGCAACCTTTCAATTTATCTTGAGATATTAATTCAGGCAATAACAATTCATAAAACCACATTAAGTACCAAAGGCTATATGAGATATTCTTCTTAGCAACCTCAAGATCACAGGCACAACTGTGGGTAGCCAGTTTGCTTTTAACCTCTTCCATTCTCCTCTTTTTGTATCATCTGGTGTTACAAAATCCATAGCCAACCTAAGTCTAACCTTCTCAAAATAACTCCCATACTCCAAACATATTCTTCCCCTTTTCCTCAAATAAAACTCCTATTTCCAAAGAACTGCTGATTTTGCTAGATATTAATCTGATTAGGGAAAGAGCAGTAATGCACAAATACTAATAGGCCAAGAACATCTGTAATGATACTTCTTAATCTGAAAGACTCATTGTGGAGATAGTTTGAAATAAGGTAACTTCTATGCTATTTGACAATTCAGGGGGCAGTACCTTATCTTACCTATCACTACATCTTCCTATTCTGTCAGGATATAAAACAATGGAATGCTGCAGGTAGTGATTTTTCATGTACTGCTTTTAATGGAAAACTATAAAATTTCACAGATTCTTTAAAACATACATTTTCCTCCTCATAGTAAGAAAACTTCACACATGAGCAAGAAGAGATCATACCTCAGTCAAGTATACTACAAGAAACAACGTTGGGGATATTCACATCAACTTGTCAACCAGCAGCTTTAGCTTTAGGAAGACAGTTCATTCTTTAAGAACTAGAGAAAACAAGGATGGGATAAGGAACAATGTATATACTGTATCTGTTGGCAAGCTGTAAGTCTGGACAGTTCTCACATAATAACAGCATAAACCCCACCAAAAAAATACTGTAATGGTAGATAAAAGGTGAACTGCCCAAAAGCTTACAGAACTTTAAGTCTCTAAAATATATTACTGCTATAGGGTGCAAAAAGATAAATTTTGTCAGTCAATTATGTAATGTCCTCAAGAGGATGCAAAGGTATGTCCCCTAAAAAACAAGAGCAAGTAAGGACATAAAAGATTTAGATAAAAATACAAGCTGAGATAAAAAGGAAGATAGGAAATGAAAGAAATATAAAAAAGAAGAGCCCAACAGAGCTTTTAAATTTACACAGTATTAAATAATACAGCCAACACCGCAAAAGATGGAAATCAGTAATGTAAAGTATAAGGAGTTCTCCAAGGCTGCTGAGTAGATGATGGGTTCAGAGAAGAGAGAGCAAAGATCTAATCTTATAAGCAATAGGAATACTTGAAAAAGAAATCACAATTAATAGTTTAGGTTAAAATGGGAGACTCATCTATGGTCTAGACAAAACTAATAGATACATATGTGAACAAATTTGGAATGATAAGAATAAAAAAAATCTGTACAATCAATCAGGAAAGAAAAATTAAAACAGGTTACCTGAAAAGGACTTTTAAAAACCAGGCTGATTTCAATATATCTCTTCTGCATTAATAAATTTCAAAAATCAGTAGTGCTACTTGTTGTGATGAGCACTGAGTGTTATATGTAAGTACTGAATCACTAAATTATACACCTGAAAGTAATATTACATTGTATGTTAACTAACTGGAATTTAAGTAAAAACTTAAAAAATCAGGAGCACTAGATCTACATAATTTTCTAAAAACAGGTGTGAGCCAAGAATTCTGTATACAGACAAGCTTTCATTTAAGTGTGAAAACAATAGAAAGAAATTTAAAATCTTAATGGCTTAGAAAATCCATCATGCACATATTTTTCCCAAAGAATTACTTTAACAATTATACAGATTGACCAAAAGATAAAAAAGAAATAAGAACTCAAGAATGAGGAAGTTGAAGCATTAAGAAATTTTAAAGTGAAGAATTCTGGTTAATATGGCAGTCTAAGCAAAATGTGGGAAGGACGCACTTTTTACTCAAATACAGAGAAATGCTATACAAACTAGAACTACATTTAAAACAGATACTGTTTACACAGCCAACCTGAAAGCAAGAATGGGAAATCGTCATGCCAGAAACAAAGAGATGACTCAAGGTAAAGATGTTGTGCTAGAATTAAAGCCCAAGGGAAATCTTTGAGATTGGATACAGGTGTTAGGGGTTAAGGTTTTAAATGCTCACATAAGACCAAAAGTCAAGACCAGAAGGAGCTGGAACTAGGCTCACTGGATAAAGTCAGGAATTGAGAAGTGGCTAGCCAGTTGTGCACGTGGAATAACAAAACTCCATTCACTGCTTTAGAGAAGCAGCACATAAACAAGCTGCCACCATTGAGTCATGAGTGGAAGGAGTCATTCCCAAGAAGCTCTAACCCCAAGCTTGAATGGTTCATGGATAGGAAATTCATATATCTCTTATTCATGTACTGCAGAAATCCTAAGCTCAGAAGTTAACATAAAAATGGTCCTGAACAAGTGAAACTTGTTAAGGCCCTGGCAATAGGGGTAAAACTGCTTCATAGCAGTCTTTTTTTATCAAAAGAATATGTGATATTCCTAAGAAACATAAACCCCGTGAAAAATAAGTTCACAACAGAAATATTTAAAGCTCATAACAAAATACAACTACATAAGAAAGCCATCAGTTGAAACAAGCAGAATTCACAGAAAACAGAATTGTATGAGAAAAGTTTTAATACAGTCATCCAGCAATATTTATTTAATACCACTGCAACCCAAGCACCGTTCTAGGTACTGGAAATAACAGTTGTGAACAAATTAAATAAATTTGTATTCCTTGTGGAGCGTACATTACATTGGTGGGGGAGACAAGTAATAAACAGATCAATATAAGATATATCAAGATGCAGTAAGTGTTACAAAATTAAGGACTGTGAATAGACAGAGATGGGATGGTATGATACTATTTTATATACTGGAGGTCAGGGAGGATCCTCTTCAGTAGTCATAACCAAACTTTTTGGTCTCATGACTTTTCTGTCTTTTAAGACTTTATAGTCTTAAAAAATTATTGATATTTTTTATTATTTTTGTAAGCTAGACCTATCAATATTTTCTGTATCAAATATTAAAACTGAGAAATTTTAAGAAACATTTAATTCATTAAGAACTACCAATAAATTTATTGCATATTTAAAAACATATATTTATGAAAAAATAATATCCCCCCCCAAAATAGTAAGAAGAGTTTCATTTACATTTTTTGTGAATCTTTTTTAATGTCTGGCTTAATAGGAGACAACTGGATTCTTGTATCTGCTTCTTTATTCAATCTTTCAAAATAAGTTTTTTTTGGTTGAAGTATATGAAGAAAATCTGGCCTCACACAACATATTTTAATACCCTTTTCAAATGATTGTGGGTATGCTTGATACTGCACCCAAATTAAACTAGTGGTAGTTCCTTAAAGGTTAGTTGCAATGTAGAATCTGAAACTATTTCAATAAACTTTTCACCTTCTGTTACAATAAAATCAATTGGTCTATCTTGTGCTTTCAGAGAATCTTTTATCCATGAGTGGTTTTGTAACATTATGTATTGGCTATTTGGGAAATGCTGCTTCACTGAAGTATTCAGATCCTCCAAATGTTGATGCATGTCATAATATGATACTAAAAAATAACATTCATTAATATCATCAACAAACTCATCAGAAAAATCTTAAGTATTGGGAAAAATGCTGTCAAGTTTATAGTGACAGATAAGAGTCTTCCAAAATTCTAATTTTTGTTTGAAAGGCTGAATATTATCATTGGCAAGATACTACTACTACTATCAGTTGTTTGCCTTAAAATGTCAGGGTCACTTCATTTTTGAGAAAATTTTACCAAGTATTCAAGTTTAAATAACTACAGTCTGTCAGTTATTCAAGTAAAAATGGTGTTCCAGAAAAAAAGAGCTAGTTCATTTTGTAACTGAATCACGTAAGTGCTTACCCTTGAGACAATCATTGTACTTTGGAATACAGTAGTACTTTACGTGAACCTATCATTTCATCACACGCAATATTAAAAACTCATACTCAATGGTCAGCTTCAAAACAAGGCATTTAGTGAAACTGGCGGGTTTTGTCCTTTACTGTGAGTTTATGTCAGTGAAGAGTACAATAACTACTAGTACAGTTTGGTGCTACTGCCTTGATTTGTGCTAGGTCACCAACAGATTTACTCATCATTGCCTTTACTTAGCATCAATGTGCATGTGCGCACAGTGAAAATGGCAAAAAATGCCTCTGCATTGTTAAGAAAAAAAGTCTGACCTCCCAGACCTCCTGAAAGAGTCTTGGGGATGCCTATGGTTGCAGATCATACAAAAACCATAGGTCTAAAGTGGCAACTGCAACCTCAGGTAACCAACCATCAAGATTTGCATGCAACTGTCTTGATGTAAAGTCTCATATTCCAGTGGAATGGTTGGTCACCCTACTGAAAAAGACCTCAAAGAAATGAGTGTACACAAAACCCCACTAGCTGATGGAAAAAGCATTTAGGCAGAAGAGACAGCAGGTAAAAAAGCCCTGAAGTAAAAAAATGGCTGGCATATCCAAGAACAAAAGAACCCACTACAAAGGTAAACACCCTTAGAAAATTAGATTATCCCCACAAAAATGCCAAATGCTATTCTCTAAGGACATCCAGTGACCTCATCTATTTTTATGCTTTAATTACTCATGACAAAAGTGAAGTTTTTCCTTACAGAACCACACAGAAAACATCAGAAGTTATTACAGATTTTTTTTAGAAAAGAGAACATCAAGAATTTTGCATTCATA